ACCCACAGAAGAGGAAGCAGGAAGATTGCTCTTAGAGCTCTTAAGGAAGCAGGGCAGGTGGCATACTGACTAAGCTGTGATCCAGCTCCATTACTCTTGTGATCTACCTACGGCACACAGCATACAGCAGCGACACCTGCACACCCATGTGCCTTGCTGCATTAGTTATGGAAACAGCTCAGACACCCTACAATGGATGAGTGAGCGCATCAAGAAAATGTGGCAGGGGGCTGGGAAGGTGGCTCAGTGGTAGAGCGCTTGCCTTGCATGCCTGAGGCCCTGGGTTCGATTCCTTAGCACCACATAAGCAAAAAGAAAAAAAAAGAAAAAGAAAATGTGGCAGATATATACAATGGAGCTTCACTCATCTATATGACATCTGCAGGGAAATGGACAGGCCAGGCTCAGGAAGACATATAGTGCGTGTTTTTTCCTATGCATGGGACTCTATCTGATTCGCACAGGCCGACTGTAGGATGGCACACTTAGGGTAACTCCTCTGAACAACTGACGAGCTGTCTCACAAAATGAATAGCAGAAAATAGAAACGTGTTTTGGGCTGAAGGAGGCTGCGCAGGAACGAAGGGAGGGTGAGCAAACGCAGTCATTATACTCAATGAACGTTGTCTATGTAACTTCAGGGCAGGGGTGGGAGGGACAAACAGGGGGGAAAGATGGAAAGGGAGACAATGACCAAAAAGCATAGTACTTACAACCTGACTTACGGAATTGAGGCACCAGTGCCTCACGCCTATAACCCTAGCTACTCAGGAGGCTGAGATCTGAGGACCTCGGAAAGTCCGTGAGACTCTCATCTCCAATAAACCACTAGAAAACCGAAGTGGTGCTGTGGCTCAAGTGGTAGAGCATTTGGCTTGAGCTGAAGAGCTGAGGGACAGCACCCAGGCCCAGAGTTCAAACCCAGGGAAAGACTTAAATTTCAAGAACTGCTTAAGGCATACCTTGTGGGTATGTCCCCATACACACCTGAGGGCCTGAGAGCATCCAATAGGAGGAAACATCTATCTACCACCCCTAGAGCTGAAGAGACTTCCCAGAGTAGCTCTGTGAGTCGTTATTCTGACACCATGGTTGGCAAACACACCACCCTTCCGTGCCTGAAGCTGAGCACTGTTTCTGAGGCACCTGGCATACAAGTACACCCCAAGGAGCTGAGCCAATGAGAGGTGCTTCCACACCGCCGTCACCCGGGCCGGCCGGCCAGCAGGGCGCGCGGGAGTGGCAACAGGAGAAGGCACGTCGCGTGGAGGATCCAGGAGCAGTGTGTCTCGCAGCACACTGCCTGCATGAGCAGCCCACCCTGCCCCTCTTCTCTACGCACCACAGAAGACAGAGCCCCTCCCCCAGCAAGACAGGGGGTTCCAAAGTGAGAACAAATGAACTTCGTTTCATTGGGATGGCCTGGTAAATTTCCTGACATTAAAATTTTTAGAATAATCATCCATGAAGCTATTATCCTAACATAATTTAAATACATTTAAGGGTTGACAGAAGTTCTTTTTTTTTTTTTTTTT